CCCACAGTAAGCAATTCTAAAAGCTTCCCTTTCATTCCATGCATTGGACACTGGAACCACATTTAAGGGGTGCTGAACCACTTTTCTAAGTGGGCTATGTGATTTAGTTTATTTTTTTGGGAATTGATTCTCAAGCCACTAGAGTTACAGGGTTTAGTTGCAGGCTTCAACCATGTGTGCCAAAGAGTGCACTGGGAGGACGGGATGGCACGAGAAAAAAAGTCGTGTGCATGCCTGCTGAAACGCTCCTTATGATTTCTCTGCTCAAGTGTGGCTCACCGTGTGACAACTATGGAACATTGTGAGCTTCTTAGATTATTTGCTCAGGCTGCCAGCTAGCGGACAGCACAAGACGTTCGTTTTTATCGGGCACTTCTCGGGCAGCCCTGAAGCTCCGCCCACCTGCCAGAACGCTGCCCCAAACGCGTTAGTTTTTCCCTCTCTGCCAGGCAGCGGCCGCCCGCGGACTCACTCTCCCGCCGGAACGATTTTGCGCTGGCAGCATGCTGGCAACGAGCAGAAGAAGCGCTTTTACGTGTTTTTTTTTCATCGCCTCGTCTGCTCGTGAACATCATCACTGCAGAAGTTCGCCGCTTGGTTTGACGACCTTTTCAAATTTGCTGTTTTCACATTTATTAAACGTGCATTTCAGTTTTAGCCTTACCATGTTTAGGATGGTGTGTCCTAATGCTACGAAATATTTTTTTTAAAGGAGATACGGATCAAAGCGTTCTCTGTCTGTAAGAACGGAGGCTTTGTGTTGTTTGATGGTAGCTTTAGGTATGTGAGCAAAGATAAGACATTTTATTGTCATGCGAGTAATTTTCCTGTACTCTACGTTTAATTATTGCCCTCTCAGTGCGATGAGGCTTGCCTCGGTTATAGCTCTACTCTAAATCTGGTGGTCGGTGGATGTGAACGTGACAGTCATCAACCTTCCTGATCCCACCAACCTTCCGTCTCAAGTGCCAGCTTCTACCTCTTGGCGTTGATACAGCACATGAAATGCACACTTGTTTCGCGCGATGTCGTTGCTGTCCAGCCTCTTGATCTCTCTCGCACTGATAACCAAGAGCACGGCGCATTGCGACGTGCCCACTCGGCTCCACTTACGTCGAACTTGTCCACAATTCCATGCACTGTAGTTTGAGTGACAAGATAGCTAGCTCACTTTGATCAGCACGGCTTTCTCAGCTGACACTTTTATTTGTCAGACACGAGCATTGCGGATAAGAAGCATACCTCTCAATCGCTTCTGCAAGATCCACAGATGTGCTTTGGGACAGTCAAAACATTTTTCTGAACTCCAGGTCTACATACGCTGGCACAACTCGCTGAACGTATAACGGAACACGGTGCCGTTCCTGCCTCAAAACCCAGGCCAACAACAGGCTACTAAGGTGATGCTTCCCACCATAGCTCCCGACCATCCTCTTCAATCGTGTCGTAAGCATGCAGTATTGCAATGATCTCGTCAACCGAAGCTTCCGTGTTTACAGACTGATTTATTTATTTATTTATTAGAATACCCTCAGGGCCCGTAGGGCATTACAGAGGGGGTGGGTACAACATATATAACACACAAGAAAAAACGACAAAATAAAGAAACAAGTATCAGATGCGCAAATCAGGAAGGCAACATAAGTCAACTAAAAAATGTATAAGAATTCAAGCACATACAAGACAAAGATAGATAATGGAAACTGCGTATAGTTACAAGCATTGCTGAGAAATTGCAGTCTTGAATAACAAAGGGTCTGTTATTGATACAACGGAAGAGGGAAGGTGGTTCCAATCGGCGGCTGTTTTCGGTAAGAAGGCTGCTGAAAAGAATTTGGTGCGGCAAAACCGAATTGCAACCTTATGCTGATGATCAATGCGCGATGAGTGGTATGACGGTTGTGAAATGAGGTCTCGCTTCATTGATGGATTGTGAAAAAATATCTTATGAAAAAAATGCAGTCGCCCCAGTTTCCTCCTGACAGTTAAATTGGGTAGGTCAAGGTTAGATTTCATTTCTGATATGCTAGCAGTACGGGAATAATTAGAACAAATGAACCGAACTGAGCGGTTCTGAACAGATTCTAACGCGTTAATTAAATTTTGCTGCACGGGATCCCATATAGCGGACGCGTACTCAAGCTTTGGGCGAATTAGCGATCGGTATAATAGAATTTTGAGGGACAGTGGAGCGCGAGAAAAGTTGCAGCGTAAGTATGCTAGCGTTCGGTTAGCGTTATTACAGATGTAGGTAACATGCGTGTGCCAAGATAGATTGTTGGTAATGTAAACGCCGAGGTACTTATATGAAGAGACATGCTGAAGGGGAACGGCGTTAATTCTGTAGGTACAGGGGGGAGAAATAGATCGCCGGGTTATTGACATGCATTTAGATTTGTTAGAGTTGAGAGTCATAAGCCATTTATTGCACCAGGTTGAGACAGTGTCAAGGTCTGACTGTAGGAATTGGTTATCATATTCATTGATGATGTGGCGGACGACACAGCAAACACAGCTGCACTTGCATGACAACGATGATGCAGCGGGGCTGCCCGACGCTTGCCTGACAATTTTGCCTCTCACACTGTGAGATAGTTGACGTCATTTCCTGTCCAAAAAGAGTCCTCGGGCTGCCACAAAAGGGAAAGTCGAAGAGGCACAGTGCCGGCACCCAGTGGCACATCAGATCTTGATTTATGCCAGCTATTGGCATGCTCTTTGACACTAACATGCAATTGCTTCTAAGAGATCCAGTACAGGTATAAAAAGAGGGTGCGCCAGGAAGTGACAACACTGCTCTTAGCTTGTGCACTCTTCTCGCCGTGCATAACAGAAAGGGTTGACTGAGCTGTTCATAACAACTGCTTTCCACAGGGTTTTCTTCCTCACTAGGGGTAACGAGTATTGTCTGAAAAAAATTATACCAAGTCGCTTTACGAGACATTTGTTCTGTTTCCATATTCTGCTTCTGCTTCCATATCATGTTCTACCAGCCAGCTCACAGACATTTTCCTGTGTCACTTTGACCTCTACCTCTGCAGCTGTCTAAAGGTCCGAATGCAGGATGACTGAATCTGCTGCAGCTGCCTGGTTTACAATGTTTTGTTGGCATCTTGTTAATGTGCCTACCCCACATTGGGAATAGCAGAGGCCTCTGGTGGCGCCAGCCGAACATTATCCTCGGACAACGATCATTGCCCACACAACTGTCACAGTAAAAATCTTTCAACCACTTATGTAATAAAACCCGAAACCGTGAATCATTCTGGACACTCGGTCATAACAGCGTCGTGAAGTGATCCTCATTTTTTCAACACTATCACTATGGCCATCTAACATGAAGAGTAGCAACTACAGACTTACAGTAAAACATTCCGAGTACTTGAATTAAAAGGCATCTTCGTTGACAGAACATAAAAAAAAAACAGGATTCAGCGAACTTTGAAATGCTAAAAGTAATCAGAGGTGATGGTTTGCTATAAACATGAACGGTGGTTTGCAGCTCGAAGTTTATATTTTTCAGCACTACCCAATCCTGATTTTGCCGGGAACCCAAAAAAGTGACGGTCTTGCGGAGCAACCAGGTAATCACACATAATGATGATTGATAGGTGAACCATTTCAGCAGTGTTGCTGCCAGTACGATAAAAGATATAGTCGTATGCCTCATGATCAGCCGAGATATGCACTTGCTGAGATGTTCTTCAATGCAACACACCAGTCACACGAAACCAGCAAAGCATGTCGCACATGGGCATCGACAGCGGGGTGCAAAAAAGGCACCTCCCCCCAATAACATTACCCAACCAAAAACACCTATGGTGCCACAAAATTGTCATAACTTTGGTGCCTCGTAACACAACTTTTTTCCATGGAAGGAAAAAGAAAAGTTTTAATAAAGGCCGGTCTAAAGCAATGTGGTCCGGCACGACGCGATGTGGTCTGACACGCCAGACATAATCTGGAGCGATGCATGCTAGTTGGAGAGCATGGTTCTCACAATTCTGCCTAATTAAAAGAATTTTCAAAGTAAGTCTTGAAGCTTGTATGCAGCTTGAGTGCACAAGCTGGTGAAGCAGATGCCCATGTCCATCTAAATTGTGAATTCCCTTCTTTATTATTTTTCCTGCCCCCAGAAAAAATAAATGAATGGTTGCACCTTGAAGTGCTGATGCCTTGAGAAGCACACGACATGCTGCACGCATGTGAGTGCTACATTGCAGTGCAGCACGTGTTCTCTTCAGCAGGGGTACACTGTGCATGGTTTACTATGAACTATGACGGTTACTATGAAGGTGCTCAAGTGGCTCGCCATACGACATTGTCTTATGGCTTTGTAAGGCTGTCACTCTTTTGGGTTTTGGGGCATATTTGGAAACCATGAACTGCCACTTGTAACCTCTGATTTAACCAGGCCAGCACAAGCTGCTGCTTCACATCATCTAGTTAAACTTGCAGTGGGAAATATGCGACCACAGAAATTATTCAAATGGATTTTGACATAATTGAGCTAAATTATTTGGGTGTAATTCTGCAAGAGACAACTGACAGAGCACCAGCCTCAACATTTTCGCATAACACGGGCAAGCATGCACTGCAAGGCTGTGGCAGGCTACTGCTCTTGGCTGCACTTTTTTTTTGTTTCCCAGCATAAAAACAGGTCTCAAACTGACGATTTCCTGACCACTACTATAGTGTAAATGCTTCAGAGAACATGTTAGCCTGTAAAAATAGAAACACATTAACCTATACCAGTCACTCCTCGTATTATACCGAATGAATCAATGATGAAGAAGACGGGCGAATTGGGCGAGTTGGTGGGGTTCTGTGGTAAAAATATAAAACAGCGCCTAACAAAACCCAAGATGAAGGAAAGATCCTTCTTTTGTCTTGTGTTTAATTAAGCTTTGTTCTATACTTCTACCACGGAATCAATGACAAGAGCTGCATTCTCCGAAAATTTCACAATGAAATCATAAAACCTGGCCGGTACGGCTCACCCTGAGCTGTGGTTGTTGCTGGTTGCCAGAGTCACCCATGTTGCGCCACTCGCCCGCACCTGACCTTTGGAATTGGCCCTGGTCCTGGCCAGCCTGCGGTGGCATGCCCTGGTGTCGAAAGCCCATGGGTGGTACTGCGGAAAAGCCAGATGATGAGGACATGTTAGCAGTACAGGCACAATAAAAAGACGAGGAGCTAAAGTGATCGTTCAGCATACTGTCACAATCTCATCACTAGAGACCAGATTATAGGCAAATGCCTATTTTGCATCTTGCATTCCTATCGTGCCACTTCGATATACGAGCACGAATTAGAGGAGCTTTGATCGTGTTTTTATAGTGCCTATAACTGCAAATTTTTGACGTTTGCACCTAAATCCCTATAAGTACCTATAAATGCCTACTTTCAATATCAGTGCCTATATGAACGCTATTTAACCTCAAATTTTGCTTTCGGGTACAGTTGGAGACCAGAATTCATGTTACCAGGAAAAACTGAGCCTTTGAAACTCTATGGGGTGCTACGTAGACTCCATTTCATAAGTTCCTTTCAGCACTGTCAAGGCTACAAGGCCTCTTAGCCAATAAGAAGGTAGATTAGCCTCTACACATATATTCATCATCCACGTTGTGTCGTCTGCTCGGCATCTTCACGGCATCTGCTCACATGCTTTGGGAACAGGAGGTGCTTCTGTGCAGCCGTAGAACGATAGAGAACAAATGTAAAATCACAGAATGTCATCAGGGGAAAGTACAGTGTAGATAAAAAAAAAAGATGTCGTGGTGGTTTTTGTTTTGTCATTTACTTCTTAAACAGCATTTCGCTAAGTCACATGAGAAATTTAACTCAGACACTGGAAGTTCTTGCATGCCCAATGAACAGTTTTTCACCACTAGTATTTTTATATGGGTTCATTACAAGCTGCGAAAGCATGACGCGAAAAGGTGAGCTTGAAACATTTGCCACTCGCCCAGTGTAGACCTCGCAAGCCAAATTATTTTTCTGCCCTCTTCTGTATCGGAGCAACTCGGAACCGGAAGATCACAGGACCCAGATGCATCAACATGTGATGCGCATGCAAGGTTACATTTGAATTACATGCCAATGCCAGGCCGTGCACATAAGTGGTGTTGTGTCGTTTCAACGTTCTCTGTATTGTACTGCCTGTTTCTGTGGGATGGATTCCTCTATGCGCCACGGTACCACGATACATAGCATCGCACCACTAGAACTGCTTCAAGAGATGATGCACCAAAAACATGCCAAGCCTTGTTCATGCTGCCACTGGTATGATGCGAAAAATCCGAGAACATCAACGCAAACGAAATAGAGGCAGCTTATTCTCGCATCTCACTCAATATAAAGCAAAAAAATAATAATAATAAAATGATGGGCATAGATTCCGTTTGTATGTTTTAGTGTTTCTGTCAACCTTCCTACTTCTGTTCAGGGAACAGATTGCACAAATTACACATGTCGCCTCGAATAATTATCGCATTGTCGCGTACTGCTTTGACGTACGCAGGATCATTCCTTGTTGTATACGTCACCTCCACCACGCTGGGGCTCGCACCCATGAAATAAATGTCAGACGGCGTTCAGTCCGAAACTTCACCTCTTTTCGAGGCGTTTAGCACTGCAAATCTTGGCAGACATCATCGTGAGTGCCCAGTTCATGCATTCTTCTTGTCTTCTCGAAATTCTCAAACCTAGTGAAGGACCCTTTAAGGTGTTCACAGGCAGAATAGAAAGTCGCCCTGTGCAGTTAGGCCAAGTTAATACGAGGCAAGAAGACCCTTCTGACCTATAGGAAGCCAAAGCAACGCATGGTGGCACTGCGACTCTGGAGAGGCAGCGGCATCTTTGGCAGAAAAGTAGAAATCAGGGATGTATACCGTGTGTTTTCCTTTCCCGACAAGCACTGCCGCTCGCTTACGTGCTCGTGCAAAGAGCGCGCGCTGCGTTTGAGTCACCTCGCCGCCTGCAGTCTTGCTTTATAAAGATTTCTGAGCTGGATTGGACAAGCACTTCCGAGAAGAGAATCTAACAAAAGGAGTAAAGCTTGTTAGTCAATTTTATTATGTGGAGCCGACGACGAAAAACGAGGACGTCTGAGTCACTGGGAAATACATTTCTCAGGTCCTCCGTGATAATACCGAGTACAATGTATGCCTCGAGGTAAGTCTCATCCTGCCGACATGAAGTCACATACTCTATCGATGTGCTGTTTTGACGTTTATGGAAGCCATAATTGTTGTTTTGATGTAGTACCTAGCAATAGCAGCCATGTACTGTCACGTGCAAATGTTTTCAACGTGCTAAAAAAAATGAATAAAAACTAAAGTTATACGGTCATGGCATTAAAATGTCCAAGAATATTTGGAGTCATGATATCTGTGCGATGGAAGCATGACCCGCTGATGTCGCCGCGAAGCAGCTAGCTGAAGTTTAACCACAGCAAGCCAAGTTGAGGTGCTCGTCTCGTTTTTTTCCCCCCCCGGCTATTGTGTCATGCTTGCTCTACCTTTGGCGAATGCGCCCGAGTTTGCTGGCTTTTACTTGCTAGAAAACTGATACAGTTTTACACGTGGAGAGCGTTCCTTAGTGTTGTCTGCATTGGTGTGGCAGCCCACAACACACCAATACTTCGGACCTCCTCGACCCTTCTGTGGGGCTGCTTCTTCCATCGTGGAAAGGCAACTTCGCACAAGGAGTGTCTCGTTCTACCACACCAAGCTGGCGGCATGGAGCCTCACCGACTGCAAAACATGTTGCACACATGTCGCATGTGCTCCCTTTTTGGCAAAACACACCGACTTGCCTGCGACCTCATCCGCATTTTTCCTCAAGTTTTCCATAGCTCGCCGCCAGGGCCAGGCGCGGCATTGTCGTCACTCGGCAAACTTGAGTTTCGGTTCCTTATTAGCATTCTGGTTGTTTGCTGGTGTGTTGCCCTTCTCAGTCATGCCGAAAAGAAAGAGACCCAGGAGCGTGTTTTTTTGACAGTGGACACTTGATTCACCATGCTGGACTAGAAAAGGAGAGACCGTATTCTGCAAACCCCTGAAGAGAGAAAAAGAGCAAGGCTACGCAAAACCATTTGCACCTTTGTACCAATAAAAAGTAAAACATTCCTGTTTTCTTTCCTGTCATAGACACAGATACTGCACGTAATTCTACAAAAATTGGAAGTTTGTTGAAGTTTATTGTGCCTATGTTTAGGACTTTGTGGACCTAAGACAGTGTTTTGCCCGTCTAGTTTGGGCGTATAAAGCCCGGCTTTTTAGTAACTATAAATCTGGCCTCTACTCATCAGCTTCGAAGCACACACATGTATCATCACTACTGCCAATACTGGAAGGGCTTACACTGCTCACAACATAAGTAGTCGCAATCACATTTCAACCAAAACAACATTCTTCAAAGGCTGCATAAATGCGAAACATGCCAAGCAAGCCGCCATGATAACAGAGACTTGAGAAAGACCACAGAAATTATTTAAATGGATTTCGACTTAACTGAGCCCAATTATTACTCCCAATTAAGCTGCCATGCATGTCAAAGAAATGATACGTGACAGAGGTATTTGCTTAAGTTACAAATGTTGAAAAATTAAGGCTGAGAACCTGCATTGACATCAGAATGAACTCAGAAAAAAAAAAAGGCTAACAAAAAACAAAAATATCACAGAAATTTGCCAATCAAATGTTCGCACCTTTTGGACTATGTGGACTCCTTTATATAGAATTGCACTACAAAGAAATATGTCGAACAATGACCAAAATTATGCATGACATGCTGTAAGCTCAGTGTTCAGGCATGTGTGATGTCCAAAACATGAAAAGTGTGAACCATCATACGAGTGCTGCAGCTAATGTCAAGAGTTCAGATGGCTCAGTAACAAACAGAAACATTAACAGCCACTGCCTAACAGGTGGCCAAACCTGCGGGCTGGTATGCTGTTGCAAGAAGCTTGCCTAAACATACAGATCAGATTGAAAGGGTCGATGCTTGGGCAAATTGGTGGGGACTAATTTTTAAAAATTTTAACAGCGCATAGAATGATAAGAAAACAGATGTGACAACATAGGTGAACTGCGATCTTTAGCTCTATTGTCTTGTCCTTTTCCTAATCGTTCTATGCGTGTTACCATTTTTTTAAATGGATACAGATCAGGCATCAAAAAGATCACCTTCACATAATGAAGCAAGGGCAACTCATGCGACAATGTTCACAGCTCTGAAATCAGCAAAGCTTGTGAGCGCTTACACTGACACCAAAGAAGAGCGCCGATCAACCACGTCAACTATCTCGCAAAAGATTCCCGAGCTGAATTTAAGCTCAACCCTCTTTGTCAGCCTTCAGGTTTCTGCTCTGTAGGTAAGTACTGGCAAGATGCAGCTGTTATATACCTTCCTTTGTAGAGATAGTGGCAATCTACGAGTTATGATTTGAGAATGGTTGATAAGTGTGCTCTACCCCATTCTTGTTCCTCTAGTTACTTAAACTTCATGGTTCGGCTCGGCGGTTACTACCTGTTTTAAGTAGACGAAATCTTTAGAACTGCAAGAGCACTGGTACCTATCTCGAAGCACTTTTTTCTTTCTTCCGAGGTTGTTGTACATTACTTTCATTTTCTGCAGATTAATTTTGAGACTTACCTTTCTGCTTTCATTGTCTAGCTTAGTAATCATGAATTGCAATTCGTCCTCTGAGCTGGACCGAAAGTAGGAACGTAATAGAGTTTATACTGAGTACACACCCAGGCATCATGCAGGATGTGGAAGTGCTTGGCAAGGTAGGATGCAGTGACTTTAAAATGGTTAGTTTTCGAATTCACCTAGACCTAACGAAGGAACCGACAGAAACTACTACGCAAGAAGCCAATCAATGAGCTAGCACTCAAAGAGAAAATACAGTAATTCAGAGTCTCGCTTCAGAACAGATATTCGGCTCTTATTGAGGAAACCGGCCTTAGCGTTAGTGCAATAAGTGATATTCTGATGAGTAGGTATCATTACGAAGTGTGCAGTAGAAGTTGTAGGTACGGCAGTTAGACAAGGCACTAGCAAGCTGTCCCAAGAGACGAAGAACTTCGTTAAGAAACATTAAGGCATGAAAGCCTCAAACAC